CCTTGTCATAGTTGAGACTTATCAGGTTTGGACAAGAGCCGGGGGCTGCCGCAGGATTCAGGATGTTCTGTAACGAACGTCCTCTGCCCCAAATAGACACCGTCCCAGGGGCGTGGGCTCAAGCAGTCCCTCCCCAGGGGCCCTCCCCACCAGCACTGGGGAAACTGGTCCAAGAGCAACCCCTGGCCCCCCAGGTCCCCAGCCAGCATCGCTGTCTCAACTGCCCACGGGTCCTGAGCCATGGCCCTGGGTAGACCAAAGACACGCCGAGATCCAGCCTGGAATCCCCAGTCTTTAATCTGTCCCTCTCCAGGTCCTCTCCCAAGGTCTTCCTCTTTATGAAAGACAAAGAAATGTAAAACATCTGTTTTAATAAATGATTCCTAGATTTCTAGGGTCCAGCAAGTCAGACGCTTGCTTAAAACTGTCCGTAACACTTTCCACGGGTATATTTATAACTAAAGGCATAACTCTGCCATCTCGCGCTCTGTTGTTAACCCTCTTCAGCCTTGTTATAAACAGAGCTCAAACAGACAGCGAAGACACATGTCAGAAAATACTGGAAGAGAAATCCCTTCTTTCAATTAAAAAAAAAAAAAAAACCCCAAACAACAAAAACAAACGCACACCACCACTACGACACTGGCAGGGAGGATCCCTGCTTCCCCGACACCCCCAGCACGGGCATTTCACATGCAGACCCCCCATCCCTCCCACCCAGTGAGCGCCGCTGTGCCAACGGAGAGGCCCCCGGAGCCTGGCTCCGCTGGCAGGACTGCCGGTGCCGCGGGGAGGATCGGCTGCTTTACACCATCCATCGCACCCGTGAGACGCTCAGCGCAAGGAGTGCCAATCGCCCGCGATAATTAACCAGCTCTCAGCTCGAGATAATTAGCTCAGTCCAAGAGCAGCAGCTCTTCCCCTGCACGTTTCACACTGAAAGCCCCGGCATCGGCACAGCGGCGGAGGCAGGCATAGATCTCCTGCACCTGGGGAAAACATTCAGCCCAAGGACAGGATGGGCAGTTTGGGCAAATAAAGAGGTTTTGTTGTTAAATACGGTGTCATATGTAAAGCTCCACAGAGCCCAAAGGAAAGGGCTCTTTGGGACTCTGCCCTGCATCCTTGCTGTCCCCAGGCAAGGAGCTGCACCGCCAGCACAGCCAAGAGCCCCGCCGTGGGGATGCAGGGAGCAGGGACATGGACCTGCAGCCCCACACCAAAAAAAAAAAAAAAAAAAAAAATTCAAGGGGACAACGATGTGAGAGAAGGGACAGATGGGTGCAGGAGGGGAAGAGGTCAGCAGCAGTTCAGGGCTAAAACCATCACGCTTTGGGGAAACTGCCTGCTGTGGAGCCTGCTCCCCAGCTCAAGCAGAAGTTACCAATCCAAACACAGCCGGGAAATAACCAGGATAAACCGTGCCACCACCAGAGTGTAGGAAATATTTGTGACATCTTTTTTTTTTTTTTTTTTGCAATCATCGTTGTCCATCCCGACAGTGAGATGGGCACAGCAAGAAGCCAACTGCGGCACTGATTTCTTTCGCGGCCAAGAGACATAGGAGGAGGGTTTCGGGTTGGAGCCGGCTTCCAGCGTTCAGAAGCCACAGTCAGTCGCACAGAAAGTAAAACCCACTGCAAACTGGAAAGGCATTTCTGCAGTAATATTTACCCCAGTGTCCCCTTAATGCTCCAAACGGAGGCACGGATAAAGCAGAAAATGCACATTAAATTGTATTGGAAACCTACAGGAACCAGTAGCCAAATTTCTACAGACAAACAAGACACGCACCCAGTCTTGACGAATTTTCACCTAAAAAAGCCGTAACGCAGATCTCTCCTTTCTACTCTCGCGGCAGCTAATTCTTCCGCTCTTTCGTAAACATTTGAAAACAAGGTCACGCACACAAATTCTGCTTTCAATTTGCCTTGTATCCATAGTGATTAAACTCAGAGCCACAATACAGGACTTAAAGCAAAAAACTTTAAGAAGGCCTGGAGCAGGGCTAGCCCCCGGCACGCTCACCGATCCACCAAAGGCCAGGGACGAGAGAATTGCCAATTTTCTCATATAACAGTGACCTGGGAATTAAATCGCTGGGCTCCAGCAGCCGTGCTATTGCCATAGCAAGGGATCCGGCCCCCCATTTACACCCTCCTCAAGAAACAACCAGCCCAGAGGCAACACAAATTTAACGGCTCCAAAACCCAGAGAGGGAGTGGGGTCCAGCAGAGACGGCCAGAGTGGAATGAGCAGGAAAAAGCAAAAGCAGCTGCAAGAGAGGAAAGACTCAGCAGCATTCTCCTCATTCCCACTGGAAAGGTTTTTCTTTAAAAAAAGAAAAATAATTTTCTCATTGTCTTTTCCCCCTCAGCCCCACACTTGCCAAAGGGGAAGCGTCGGGGCTGGAAGCTTTAACCACCTACATCCAAATTTCCTGCTCCATCACAGCCCCAGGCACAGGCAATGCCTCCAGTGTGTGATAGCAAACACTCTGAATTCAGCGGGGCCTTCTCTGGTCCCTGCCGTGTGCCTCAATTTCCCCATCCGACTGGGGGGAGCAATAGCATTGCCCTGCCTGTGGGGATATTAGGAAAATAGCCCCATCCAGAACCAGGTCAGGGAGGATATAACATTCCTCCTGCAGAAGGAAAATAAAGCCAGAGGAGATAGGAAAATGCTTGGCCCCATCCCTCCGCAGCCCCAGGGGTCTCACAGGCTCCTGACAAAAGGCTCCTAAATTCCCAAGGCACAAACCGAGCACAACGAAACACCTCTAAAAAGGGGAGAAACGGGGCTGCAAGGAGGCGGCGGGGGAGAAGCACAACTTGCCACGCAGCACTGTAAACCTGGCACCTCTTGGGACACACGGGGCAGAGGAAGCGGGGAGCTGCGAGGGGACGCCGAGCCCCCCGTCCCCCCACGCTTTTTGGCAGGGCGCTGGGGCTTTGCGGGCGGGCGGAGCAGGGCGAGAGGGGCTCGCCGAGGGGCAGAGGGGCACTTACTTCTCGTAGTCCAGCTTGCAGTAGAGTTTCTTGTCACGGTAGAAGCAGGTGGTCTGCAGGGGCTCCTTGCAGGACGCGCACTGGACGCACTGCTCATGCCACAGGCTGTCGTTCAAGCGCAGCAGGAACCGGTCCGAAATAACTCGCTGGCACCCTTCGCACACCGACTTGGGGGTCGCGGCTCTGCCTGCGGGGAAGGACCCGGGGGCAGGGCTGGGTGGAGGGAGAGGTGGACAGGGAGACGGACCGGGCGAGGG